CAAGGAGACAAGAACACCCCCAATGGCTCTGTCCTTCCTCCTTGATTCCCAGAACAAAGTGGTGCAGAGCCCTTAGCTGGGCCTCCTGAGTGCTCAGTGTCAGCTCTGGCTCCACCTGTGGGACATGAGATGAATCACTTATCCTCTCCTTGCGTCAGTTTTCTGCTCTGTATAATGGGATACCAATCACACAGTACCATGAGTGGAAAAGCCTCCGGGGCACGTATATCATTTGTTTTTCCTTCCGTCCCTGCCTATGCCTCAAGCTGCCCCCAGTGAACACATACTGGCCCCCACGGGCTGAGCTTGGGCTTAAGGAGCCATTTTGAGGGGTTCAGGTGGAGCACAGCTAGTGTGACTCTGGAACCCCAGCTCAGCTGCTTCTAACACTACCTGTGAAGCGCTCGGTGGCTTGCGGAACATCCCTGGGAGGCAGGCAGGGGCGAGAGTCCTCTCCATTGTACAAATGGGAAACTGAGGCTCAGAGAGGTTAAGTAAGGCAAGGGAGACCTCACAGGTGGTGACAGAGCCCAGGCTTCCCCCAGGTCTCCTGGCGGGTCAGGGGGTCTCTCCTCCCCAGCTGTGCCAAGGCTGCACTCGCTCATCTGGAAAGCCTCCAGCCGCGCGAGGGTTTCACCTGCCACGGGCCTTCCCCATCCGGCCTTGCGCAACTACCCCAGCCCCCAAAACACACCCTGAGATCCCGGGAGCTGGAGACAGGCTCCCCTCGCAGCACCTCCGGCCTTCCCCTGCCTGGCCCTGCTCGGCCCGGCGCTCCCAGGCGGTGCCAATGCGGCCCTTCGTTGTTCCCAAGGCTGCGGCTGGAAGTTCGAGCCCCTGCTGGGGGAGGAGCTGGACCTGCGGCGCGTCACGTGGCGGCTGCCCCCGGAGCTCATTCCGCGCCTGTCGGCCAGCAGCGGGCGCTCCTCCGACGCCGAGGCGCCCCACGGGCCCCCGGACGACGGCGGCACGGGCGGGAAGGGGGGCAGCCTGCCCCGCAGTGCGACACCCGGGCCCCCCGGAGGTGACAGGTTCACCCGCTGCGCCCCGATCCGCGCCCACCCAGCCTCACTCACGCCCGCGGGCCTGGGGGCCTGGGGTGGGTGTCTGCCCTGCCTCGGGGCCCCAGTTTCAGCCAGGCTGGGGCCTTGGCGGCTGGGGACACAGCTGCTCAGAGGCAGGGCCCAGTGCCAGGGGACACCCGAGGCAGGCGCTTGGGCCCTTATGGTGCTTGCCTGGCCAGGGGGTGCAAATTCAGAAGTCTGCTCAGGGAGCGGACCCTGGCACCCAAGTAGACGGCTCAGGGGCCTCAAAGGACAGGAGGGAAGGCTTTGGGATTTCCCCAAGGCAGGACTGACTGCAGGGGCAGCAAATCCCCCACCACTGCCAGGGTGGGCTGTGCTCATACCGATATAGTGGCCAGCCAGAGGACATGGGCTGTGGAAGCCTGGGTGGCCCCTGGGCTCCTCCAGGGACAAAGGACCTCTGTCCCTAGTGGTTTGAGGGAAACTGGTTGTATTTAAGCAAAAGCCACCCAGAGGGTGGGTGACCAGGAATGCGCAGGGCCAACCTGCTCCTTGGGGCCTGGGTCTGGGGCAGGCCTGACCAAGGGACCCTGCTCTCCCCCTGCAGAGCACCTGGTGAATGGCCGGATGGACTTTGCCTTCCCGGGCAGCGCCAACTCCCTGCACAGGATGACCACAACCAGTGCCGCTGCCTATGGCACCCACCTGAGCCCACACGTGCCCCACCGAGGACTAAGCACATCCTCCACCCTCACACGGGACTACCACTCGCTGACCCGCTCAGAACACTCACACTCGACCACACTGCCCAGAGACTACTCCACCCTCACCTCCGTCTCCTCCCATGGTGAGTGACCTCAGCCAACCCTGCCTCTCCCACTAACCCTTCCTCTCTTCCAGCTCCTGGTGCCTCGGGCTTCTGCCTGCTGTCCCGATGGTCCATTCTCCAACACACACACATGCATGTACACACACATGCATGTACACACGCACACACACATGCATGTACACACACATGCATGTACACACGCACACACGCACACATGCATGCACACACGCACGCATGCACTTATGCATGCATACTCCTTGCTCCTCTCACTCTTGTTTTGTCCTGCCCTAGGCCTCCCTCCCATCTGGGAACACGGGAGGAGCAGGCTTCCGCTGTCCTGGGCTCTGGGGTCCCGGAGTCGGGCTCAGATGAAAGGGTTCCCCCCTTCCAGGGGCCCACGAGACTCTATAATCCTGGCTGGGAGGCCAGCAGCGCCCTCCTGGGGCCCAGGTAGTACAGGGGTGGCCATCCTGTCTCTACAGCTGTCCTGCTCCATCTGTCATCCAGCCACCATAGCAGCCGCCAGCTGTGCCCACTGCTTCCCCTCCATTCCATCCACAGGACCCCCGCCTGCCCACAGGCGCTAACCACCTGCCCTACCATCAGTGCTGATGCCTAACACTGCCTCTGCCCTTCCAGGGGGCGGGGCTATGGCTGGGGCAGGAGAGGGGCCAGGCCAGCTGAGGAATTGAGAGGGTGGGGCTGGCAGACTCACAGGGTTCACCCTCTCTTGGCACAGGCAGGGCCCGCACCCTCCTGGAGGATGTGCGGTAGGTGCTGGGCAACCTGGACAGGGTGTTGCAGGGTGAGTTGTCCAGCCGGCGATCAGTGTAGACATGCCAGCCGAGGGAGGGAGGTCAGGGGGCAGCACTGTGACTCCCACTGAGACCCTAGCATCTCTGACTGCAGCCTCCTGTCCCCAGACTCTCGCCTGACGGCTGGTGTGCCCGACACGCCCACCCGCCTGGTGTTCTCTGCCCTGGGACCCACATCTCTCAGAGTGAGCTGGCAGGAGCCGCGGTGCGAGCGGCCGCTGCAGGGCTACAGCGTGGAGTACCAGCTGCTGAACGGCGGTGAGACATGGTGGCTGCTGGGCTGTGGGGTGCAGCCCCGCGAGGCCTGGCCCCAGGGTGACACATAGGGCACCGGCTGTGTCAGAACCCACCCGAATCCCTTGAGCGCTAAAGCCCCCATCCAGCCTGAGAGGGTCTCCCACCCCACTTCTTTGCCTCGCCTCTTCTGAGGTCTCACCCATCTCCCTGGGCCTCTCTCCTGGTCATTCTCTGCTAGGTTTTGCCTAACAAGGCCTCTTTGGGCTAGGATCCTAGGGCCTCTGCTGGCCGGAGATGCCTTTGGGGGGAACGAGGAAGTTTCACTTCCCTGGGCAGGCACATTCAAAGCAGCATGACCAGGACGCAGGATTTTACCCAAACATGAGTGGGATTACAGGCTCCACTCTTGTATAGTACACAACCTGAACAACCAGCCATACCATACTGTACCCAACCTGTACCCAAACCACAGCTAGTCCTGGGTGGGTGATAACCAGGTCTCGATGGCAGCTTAGGGAAGAGGGGGATCAGGCCAGGGGTGGGAGTAACAGTGCACTACTGTCTGCCCCCACCTGACCCCTCAGGTGAGCTACATCGGCTCAACATCCCCAACCCTGCCCAGACCTCGGTGGTGGTGGAAGACCTCCTGCCCAACCACTCCTATGTGTTCCGCGTGCGGGCCCAGAGCCAGGAAGGCTGGGGCCGAGAGCGTGAGGGTGTCATCACCATCGAATCCCAGGTGCACCCGCAGAGCCCACTCTGTCCCCTGCCAGGTGAGTTGCCTCCCCCAGCCCCACAGCTGCCCCCATCATGCCCACCACCCACCCACACGCTGACGCTCTTCCTCTACTGCCCCCAGGCTCCGCCTTCACTTTGAGCACTCCCAGCGCCCCAGGCCCGCTGGTGTTCACTGCCCTGAGCCCAGACTCGCTGCAGCTGAGCTGGGAGCGGCCACGGAGGCCCAATGGGGATATCGTTGGCTACCTGGTGACCTGTGAGATGGCCCAAGGAGGAGGTGCTGCCCGCCCCGGGGGCAGGGGTGGCCAGGGGAGGGGTAGAGAGGGGCCGCAGAGGCTGAAGGCATCTTCTCTGCTCAGGGCCAGCCACTACATTCCGGGTGGATGGCGACAGCCCCGAGAGCCGGCTGACCGTGCCAGGCCTCAGCGAGAACGTGCCCTACAAGTTCAAGGTGCAGGCCAGGACCACTGAGGGCTTCGGGCCAGAGCGCGAGGGCATCATCACCATAGAGTCCCAGGATGGAGGTAGGCACCTGTCCTTTCCTTCACCTCCCACTCCTCCTCGGGCCGTGCCTTCTCCTGGCACCACCCTCTGACCAGCCAATCTGCCTACTCCAGGCCCCTTCCCACAGCTGGGCAGCCATGCCGGGCTCTTCCAGCACCCACTGCAAAGTGAGTACAGCAGCATCACCACCACCCACACCAGCGCCACCGAGCCCTTCCTAGTGGGTGAGCACTGAGGGCCAGGGGATCCCGGCTCTCCCAGGACAGGGAGCTAGCAGAGGGAGAGGGGCAGACCCCAGGCCAGGTCATCTAATGCCTCCTCCTCCACAGATGGGCTGACCCTGGGGGCCCAGCACCTGGAGGCAGGCGGCTCCCTCACCCGGCATGTGACCCAGGAGTTTGTGAGCCGGACGCTGACCACCAGCGGAACCCTCAGCACCCAGGTGGACCAACAGTTCTTCCAAACCTGATCCCACCCTGCCCCACCCTCGCCATGTCCCACTAGGCATCCTTCCAACTCCTCTCCCAGAGCCTCCTCCGCTACTCCATCCTTGCACCCCTGGCCGCCCAGCCCACCCACAAGCACAGAGCAGGGGCTAGGTGTCTCCTGGGAGGCATGAAGGGGGCAAGGACCCCCTCTCTGGGCCCAAACCTATTTGTAACCAAAGAGCTGGGAGCAGCACAAGGCCCCAGCCTTTGTTCCGCACTTAATAAACAGTTTTGCTACTGCTAGGCCCTGCCTTGCCCATTCTTCTGGGGCCTGAGAGGTGCTCGCCGAGGGTAGGGGAGCGGTTCTGACATCCCCCATTCTCTGACACCCAAGCATACACCCACCTCTAGAGGCAGGCAGGTACCACGTTGGAGGCACAAGTTTATTGAGCACCCAGATACGGAAGGTGGCACCAGGCACAGAGCCATGGGACTGGCCTGCAGGCCCTGCACCCTCGCCGTGTGCTGTCCTGGGGCCTCCTCACAAGTGCAACACCTTGGCTCCATCGGCCGCTTGAGAGAGGTAGAAGGTGGCAGTCCCGCCATAGTGCTCCTGTGAGAGGCGGGCTGGGGGTGAGTGGCAGGGCCCCGGGAAGCCGCCGCTCCTGCCCGCCCAGGCCCTGGTGCCCGCCCACCTGGATGTGCTGCATGGCGTGGGGAGCGGCAGAGGCCTCCAGCAGTGTCACTGTGCAGCCACCGAAGCCACCGCCCGTCATGCGGCTGCCATAAACCCCAGGCACAGCAAGTGCAGCCTCCACCAGCTGGTCCAGCTCCAGGCAGCTCACCTCATAGTCGTCTCTGCAGAGAGGATATCGAAGGGGTGGGCCTGGGGCCAGCCTGCGCCTGGCAGAAGCGGGGCGCCCAGAGGGCCTCACCTGAGTGAGCGGTGGCTCTCCACCATGAGGCGGCCAAAGGCTCTGTAGTCACCACGTCTCAGGGCGGCCGCTGCCTGGGCCGTGCGCTGAATCTCCCCCACCACATGCCGGGCCCGCCGGAAGCCCTCTTTGCTCACCAGTTCCCGGGCAGCTGGGGAGGAAAAAGGAGTCAGCAGCCACCTTCTCACTGCCTGGGACCACGACGCCTGTGAGGGCCGGCAGGCGGTGATGGCAGTGGCCCTGGCTGGACAGTGAAGGGTGGGAGGCTGCGGGGGCAGCAGCCTGGCTCTCTCAGACATGGGTCTGAAGAGCCCCTTTATCACAGTGCCTCCTTCCCCAACTGTAAAATGGGACACCTTGGTCCTTCAGGGAGCAGTGAGGGTGAAACACTCCACGCTTCCCAAGGTGAGTGCTGCCTTCAAGAGGCCCCCACAGCAGGAGGAGAAGAAATTCTGCTGAGCCACATGGAGCCTCGAGGACTGGGACTCCAGAAGAGGGGGCAGGAGCAGCCAGGGACCAGCAGGCCATCCCATCTGGCTGGAGCTGAGGCTGGAGGGGTACCTGGGTCAGTACCGGTACTGACTCAGTGTACTGCGCCCAGCCAAACCCGCAGGTTTAAGGGGGAAGCTTGTTATAGGTGGCATGGCGGGATAGAGGGGCAAGTAGATGCAAAGGACTAAGAAATGAATGAGCAGGCGCGGTGGCTCACGCCTGTAATCCCAGCACTTTGGGAGGCCGAGGCGGGTGGATTGCCTGAGGTCAGGAGCTCTAGACCAGCCTGGCCAACATGGTGAAACCCTGTCTCTAATAAAAATACAAAAATTAGCCGGGCATCGTGGCAGGCACCTGTAATCCCAGCTACTCAGGAGGCTGAGGCAGGAGAATTGCTTGAACCTGGGAGGCAGAGGGTGCGGTGAGTGGAGGTCATGCCACTGCACTCCAGCCTGGGTGACAGAGTGAGGCTCCCTCTCAAAAAAGAAAAAAAAAAAGAAAGAAATGAATGGAAATGAGACAGTGGGCGGTGTTTTAGGCGGGAAGAAAACTGAGCATGTCTTGGAGGCTGAGGGAAGGAGCCAGGCAGCCAGGCAGGGGATGGAAGGAGAGGGACTGGGGCTTCTAGGGCAGGACTCTGGAGGAGACAGGGCAAGCTGCTCCTAGGCAGGAGACCTGGAGGGAGGGGCAAGGGGAGGCTGGGGTGGGGAGGAGGGCCCAACTTGTTCCAGTGTGAAAACCTTGGCCAAGGTCATCTGCACAGAGCAGGCAGGGCAGGGCTGAGCACTGCTCTGGAGAACGTGACACAGTTCACAAAGGAAAAGGACAGGGAGGTCCCTCGGAGCTGTCTGGTGTCCCTGAGATAGGCACACCTACACTGCCAGGAAGGAACAACTCAGTGTGGGCACCATGGCCAGGCAGTCAAGGGCATGGGCCCTGGAGCTAATCTGTCCAGATAGGGTTCAGATCCCAGCACTGCCTCTCACTGTAGATTCCATCAAAAATATGAGAATTATGGTAACAGAATGTGCTTTACAGAGTTTTGGGGGGAATTAAATAATATTGATACAACCTTAAAACTATCCAATAGACTATCTTCCTGGCCATGGGTAGCAGGAGCTTTAAGGATACTTGTATCTTTGTTATTTTGGAGACAAGGTCTCACTCTGTGGCCCAGGTTGGAGTGCAGTGGTGCAATCACAGCTCACTGCAGCCTCAACCTCCTGGGCTCAAGCGATCCTCCCACCCCAGCCTCCTTAGTAGCTAGGACTACAGGCACACACCACCATGCCTGGTTAATTTTTGTATTTTTTTAGAGATAGGGTTTCACCATGTTGCCCAGGCTGGTCTCGAATTCCTGAGCTCAATCAAGCTGCCCGCCATGGCCTCCTAAAGTGCTGGGATTACAGGCACAGACGTGAGCCACTGCACCCAGCCTAGAATATTTGTCTCTTGACTCTATAATCCTACTCCTAAGAATCCATTCCTAAGAAACTATTAAGAGAATGCAGATAGGACATGCGTGGTGACTCACGCTTGTGCCTGCAGGCGGATCACTTGAGGTCAGGAGTCCAAAACCAGCCTGTCCAATATAGTGAAACCCCATCTCTACTAAAAATACAAAAAAAAAAAAAAAATCAGCTGGCTGTAGTGGCACGCGCCTGTAGTCCCAGCTACAGAGAGGCTGAGGCAGGAGAATTGCTTGAACTCTGAAGACAGAGGTTGCCGTGAACCGAGATTATGCCACTGTGCTCCAGCCTGGGCTACAGAGCAAGACTCAGTCTCAAATAAAAAAAAGAGAATGCAGATAAACCGGGTGCCTTTAGTCGCAGCTACCCAGGAGACTAGGTGAGATGACATGAGTCCAAGAGTTCAGGTCCAGCCTGGGCAGCACAGCAGAACCCATCTCTTTAAAAAATAAAAGACCAGCCTGACCAACATGGTGAAACCTCATCTCTACTAAAATTACAAAAATTAGCCGGGCATGGTGGCGCATGCCTCTAATATCAGCAACTCAGGAGGCTGAGGCAGGAGAATCACTTGAACCTGGGAGGCAGAGGTTGCAGTGAGCGAGATCGTGCCACTGCACTCCAGTCTGGGTGATAAAGCAAGACTCCGTCTCAAATAAATAAATAATTTTAAAAGTTCATCATAGTGTGAGGTGTATCAGAAAATAGTTAAGTAAATGACAGGGCACCTGAATGCTGAAACATTGTGGAGGTTTAAAGAGCCACACTGAGGCCAGGTGCGGTGGCTCACACCTGTAATCCCAGCACATTGGGAGGCCGAGACAGGCAGATCACGAGGTCAGGGTTCGAGACCAGCCTGGTCAACGTGAAACCCCGTCTCTACTAAAAATACAAAACTTGGCTGGGCATGGTGGTGGGTGCCAGTAATCCCAGCTACTCAGGAAGCCGAGGCAGGAGAATCATTTGAACCCAGGAGGCGGAGGTTGCAGTGAGCTGAGATTGTGCCACTGCACTCCAGCCTGGGCAACAGAGCAAGACTCTCTCTCACAAAAAAAAGAAAAAGACACACTGAGACGGGCCTTTCGTGGCATAAGATAGGGTTCTGAGATTACGTTAAGTAAAAAAAAAAAAAAAAAGGCCAGTGCGGTGGCTCACACCTGTAATCCCAGCACTTTGGGAGGCTGAGGCAGGAGGATCACCTGAGGTCAGGCATTTGAGACCAGCCTGGCCAATATGGTGAAACCCCAGTCTCTACTAAAAATACAAAAAATTTGCCAGGTGTAGTGGCAGTGCCTGTAGTCCCAGCTACTCTAGAGGCTGAGGCAGGAGAATCGCTTGAACCTGGGAGGCAGAGGTTGCAGTGAGCTGAAACTGCACCATTGCACTCCAGCCTGGGTAACAAGACTGAAACTTTGTGTCCAAAACAAAAAACAAAACAAAACAAAAACATGGCAAGTGGGCTGGGTCCAGTGGCTCATGCCTATAATCCCAACACTTTGGGAGGCCAAGGCAGGAGGACCACCTGAGGCCAGAGTTCAAGATCAGCCCGGGCAACATTGCAAGACCCTGTCTTTACAAAAATAAAAATGAGCTGGGCATGGTGGCACACCTGTAATCTCAGCTACTTGGAAGGCTGAGCTGGGAGGATAGGATCCCTTGAGCCTAAGAGTTCAAGTTTGCAGTAAGCTATGATCACACCACTACACTCCAGCTTGGGCAACAGAACGAGACCCTGCCTCTTAAAAAAAAGGGGGCAGGGTTGGGGGCAAGTGATGACATATTACATATACTCAGCTTTGAAAACAGATGTGGAAAAATACTGAAAGGAAACGTGAAAATGTCAACAGTGGCTGTCACTGCGTAGTGGCCTTATAGCTTGTTATTTTCTACTTTGTACTTTTCTACATTTTCCACAATGGAAGTATGATTTTTCTGATTAGATAAGACCATTTTAGGATTTCAAGCAGGCCTGCTGATATCGGAACCCTGGGTTTGCAGTGTTTGAGGGGACTGGGGAGAGCATGGCAGAAGGCCCTGGAGATCGGGATCCCAGGCAGGGTCAAGGCCACACTGAGGCGCCAGCAGGGAGCACAGCCGCCTCCAGGACAGAGCACCCCGGCAGTTCTCACCCTCTAGCTCTTCCAGCTGCACCTCCCGGAGGCTTTCCTTGCCCAGCGCCTGGGCCACTTCTTCACACTGGCGCCGCCGCACAGGGTACTCGCTGGAGCCCAGGGAGTGGCGGACATTAGAGTTGGTGATGAGCACGGCCAGCTTGGGGTCTGAGAGTGGCACCAGGCTGGTCTCCAAGGACCTGGGGTGGAGTTACAATGGGGGAGATGACGAGGCCCATTGTACTTGCTGCGCCAGGCAGTGGGCACACTCCACCCAGGAGCACCTGAGTGCAGGACGGGAGGGGACGAGGGGAGCGAGCCCAACCTGCAGTCAATGAGCAGCGCGTGGCCCTTCTGTCCCATGAGTGAGATGAACTGGTCCATGATGCCACAGGGCATCCCTGCGAAGCTGTGCTCAGCCTGCTGACACACCTGGGCGCGGGCAGCTATTGTGCCCGAGTCTGCAGTACAGGGTGAGGTGGGGAGGCTAGAGCTGGTGGGAGCAGCAGTGGCTCCAATGACACTCCAGAGATTCCCTGCCACCCCCTCCATAAGGCATAGTAGAAGCTGGGACCACCTGGAGACCTCAGGGAAGGAGGGCTGGGTCAGGGCTGCGGCCTAGCTGGTACCTGGACAGAGCTGCTGGAGGAACGTGTACATGGCCACTTCCAAGGATGCTGAGCTGGACAGGCCACCCCCCAGGGGCACTGAGCTGACCACCACTGCACTGAAGCCAGGGAGGGGGGCAGCTGCAGGGGAAAGAACAGGTGATGGTAAGAAGGGCTGCCTGGGAGGATGGCACAGGAAGGGCATGTGTCCTGGCGGGAAGGGCAGCAACGGCCTAGCAGCTGTTTCTAGGGTGCGTGTCTCAGTTGTCAGAAGCCACCAACCTGCTGGTCTAAGGGACCCACTGCCCTCCATTTTCCCACCCTCTGAGGTTGCTGGGACACTCCTAATTGTCCTCCTGGTTTAGGGCTCTGGAGGGAAAAAAGGCTAGGGTTTGAATCCTGGCTCCTCCAATCAGGTCATGGGAAACCCAGGGCAAGTTCCCGACCTTCTGGGGGCATCAGTTTCCTCATCTGTACAACGGGATGCTCCACTCTGCGAGTCTTCCCCACAGTGTATCAGACAAATGAATGGGCTCTGTGGCTGTGGGGTGGCACTCCTAGTATCGGTGAGGACTTGGCTCAGGCCTGGGCCCCATACCTGGGTAGTACTGAATCACTCCCTTCACATAGTTGGCCCACCGAGGGGTCCCAGGCTCCAGCGAGCGCTGGGCTGTGGGCAGTGGAAACTGCAGCCGCTGGGGCTCATCAGCACCCTCAGAGGTGGTGAGGAGAGACACCAGCCCGTCCTTGCGGGGGCTGCCCACCACCACCGTCACGAGCTCCAGGGCCTGGCAGGACAGACAAGCAGTGGGTGAGGCTTTTGCAGGCTGATGGAGTAAGCCCCTCCAATGACACCGCCTCCAGCCGAGGTTCTGATGCCTCCGCAGTCATCAGGTTCTGAACTTCCAGGTTCAGCTTCGCAGGGAAGATCCTGAGGGCCAGCTGGCCTTGGGGGCTTGAGCCCTGCCCCCCTGGGTCTTCAGGGGCTTGGCGGCTGCTGTTGGAGCACAGACTTGGACTCTGCCCTGAGCTGTGGGGCAAGGGGGAGAGCTAGCCCAAAGGGAAAACAGATCACCGGAGCTCCAAAGCCTTTACATTTTGGGGTGGCCCTGGACACCCTGTACCTGTGCACTCCCCAAGCTACAGATGGGGCGGAAAGCGCCCCACACTGAAAGCTGGGAGTCCTCACTCCCAAGTCGCAGCCCCGCCAAGAACCTGCTGTGACCTCCAGCAGTTCACTGGGCCTCTCTGGGCCTCAGTTTCCTCCACTGTGAATTCAACGGGCTGGGCCAGAAGGCTACGTTCGCCCAAGTCTGCAGTTGGGGCCCCACGGTGGCCAGAGGCGTGGAGTGTCCCCTTCTGCGTGGCACACAGGGCCTCAGTTTAAAGGGAACATGCTCCCAGGTTGAAGGCCAGGAGCCCCAGCCCACAGAGGGCGGGCTTGAGCGAAGAGGCGGCCGCGCACCCTCTCCCGGCCACTTCCTCGCTTCCTCCCTTCCAACGTGGGGAACAGCCCGTCCCGGGGACTCTTCCGTGCGCCGTTGCTCCAGGCGCAGCTGCCCGCCCCACATCTCCCGCGGGAAGAACTCGCCCCCAGCGCCCCGAGGCCCGCCCTCCTCGGCGGCCGGGACAGGCGGCGGCGGGCTGGGGGCTCGCCGCGCAGCCCCTCACCATAGGCAGCACCAGGCCCTGGTTGTAGTCCGTGTGTTCCCCGATGAGGTTGACGCGGCCGGGCGCGGACACTGCCAGCTCAGGCTCGGCCCCGAACTCCTCCCGGAAGGCTCGCCGGGCCTCGGCCAGCAGCTCCGCGACCTGGGGCTGTCTCAAAGCAGCCATGACGCGCGCCTGCAGCACTGAACAGCAGCTCCGGCACAGCCCCGTCGGCGCGGGATGCTCGGGCGGGGCCACGCGCGGGGGTGCACACGTTCCCGCCAGCCCCGCCCCGCGCCCGGACGCCCCGCCCCCAGACCGCAGCCGGTTCCGCCCCCACCCGCAACTCCCGTTGGAATCCAGCTGCTGGGTGGTGGGTGGCAGGGGCTGATGGCGCCGGGTGGGATACAGCGCCCCCGATGGTGTCCTTCTCTCTGGACTTCGGGAAAAACCAATGGGCACTTACTAGACTGAGAATAGCCCTGAGTGGCACTTGGCATGACCGGGATTTCTGAGCTGGTCTTCCCTGGCGTTGGTGACTTTCTATGTGCCTCACCACCCACAACCACCCACACAGCCAGAGCAATGGAGCTGGCACCCGGTTGACCTGGGATTCCCAAAGGGATCTCCTAGGTCCCCAGGGCCAGCAGCTGTGAGAGGTCATTGGCCTCTGATCACCGGTTTCCAAGAGGGTGATCTGACACTCACTATAAGTAGAGATAAAGATAGACAAGTTTGGGCCGGGCGCAGTGGCTCACGCCTGTAATCCCAGCATTTTGGGAGGCCGAGGCGAGCGGATCACCTGAGGTCGGGAGTTCGTAGACCAGCCTGACCAACAGGGAGAAACCCCATCTCTACTAAAAAATACAAAATTAGCTGGGCATGGTGGCTCATGCCTGTAGTCCCAACTACTCGGGAGGCTGAGGCAGGAGAATCGCTTGAACCTGGGAGGCAGAGGTTTCGGTGAGCTGAGATCACTCCACTGCCCACCGGCCTGGGCAACAAGAGCGAAACTCCGTCTGACAACAACAACAAAAAAAGACAGACAAGTTTGGTGGTGACCAGAGAGTCAATTTTACAAGCTCCTTTTCTAGGTAACACACAACAGCTCCTAGCAGTGGAGAACTGGACTAGGGTGGCAGTGGCCAGCAGTGGGCCCAGCCCCTCCCTTAAGGACCTGCCACAGCTGTCCAGGTAGGTTGTGCTCTTGGCCCCAGCAGACACTTCTTCAACCCAGAAGCCCTTGTCTCAGAGGCGTCGCCTTGTTCCCAGAGTCAAGCACTCTTCTCTTGCTAGCCTGCATCCTAAACCTGCAGGCCGACCCCAACTGCTGCCTTGATGCCTGTCCACAGTTGCCCACCCTACATGGAACCTTGAAACTGAAAGACTGAAATGTAAGCAGCTTGCTTGGGATTCGGGTGGGAGTTGTGTGGGGAGTTATGGCCTGGGATGTAGCTTGGGGCCTGCTCAGGGGTGTGCCCAAAAAATGGGAAACTGCATTTCCAGGGCAATTCTGAAAACTTTTAGAAGAAAACAGGGGTACAGCTTTGTGACATTGGTTAGGCAATGTTTTTGTTTGTTTGTTTTTTGTTTTTGAGACGGAGTTTCGCTCTTGTTGCCCAAGCTAGAGTGCAATGGCGCGATCTCAGCTTACTGCAACCTCTGCCTCCCAGGTTCAAGCAATTCTCCTGTCTCAGCCTCCCAAGCAGCTGGGATTACAGGCACGTGCCACCAAGCCCGGCTAATTTTTTGTATTTTTAGTAGAGACTGGGGTTTCACCATGTTAGCTAGGCTGCTCTCGAACTCCTGACTCAAGTGATTTGCCTGCCTCGGCCTCCCAAAGTGCTGGGATACAGGCATGAGCCACCGCGCTGGCCAGGCAATGGTTTTTTAGATATGACATCAAAAGCACAAGTGACAACAGAAAAATAAATTGTACTTCATCAAAGTGAAATACTTTTCTGCAACAAAGAACTTCACACGCGTCCCTGTGAAAAGACCACCAAACAGGCTTTGTGTGAGCAACAAGGCTATTTATTTCACCTGGGTGCAGGCGGGCTGAGTCCGAAAAGAGAGTCAGCAAAGGGCGGTGGGATTATCATTAGTTCTTACAGGTTTTGGGATAGGCAGTGGAGTTAGGAGCAATGTTTTGTGGGCAGTGGGTGGATCTCACAAAGTGCATTCTCAAGGGTAGGGAGAATTACAAAGAACTTTCTTAAGGGTGGGGGAGATTACAAAGTACATTGATCAGTTAGGGTGGGGCAGAAACATCACAATGGTGGAATGTCATCAGTTAAGGCTATTCTCACTTCTTTTGTGGATATTCAGTTGCTTCAGGCCATCTGGATGTATACGTTCAGGTCACAGGGGATATGATGGTTTAGCTTGGGCTCTGAGGCCTAACGAGAACACCATCAAGAAAGTGAAAAGACAACTCACAGAATGGAAGAAAATACTTGCAAATCGTATGTATCTAAGGGGCTTGGAGTTTGAGACCAACCTGGGCAACGTGGGAAGACCTCACTGCTACCAAAAAAAAAAAAAAAAAATTAGCCAGGTTGGGTGGCATACACCTGTGGTCCCAGCTATTCAGAAGGTGAGACCGTGTGTCAAAGAAAACAAACAAACAAACAAAAAAAAAGCAAAAGATTTCAAGAGGCATTTTTTCCAAATAATATAAATACAAACGGCCAATAAGCACATGAAAAGATGCTCGCAGGTCAGATGTGGTGGTTCACGCCTCTGATCTCAGACTTTGGGAGACCGAGGTGGGCAGATCACTTGAGGGCAGGAGTTTAAGACTAGACCAGCCTGGCCAACATGGTGAAACCCTGTCTCACTAAAAACACAAAAATTAGCCAGGCATGGTGGTGCCCATGTGTAATGCCAGCTACTCAGGAGCTGAGACACAAGAATCACTTGAACCCAGGGGATGGAGTTTGCAATGAATCAAGATCTCATCACTGCATTCCAGCCTAGGTGACAGAGCAAGACTTGGTCTCGGAAAAAAACAAAAAAGTGATGTATCTATACAATAGAAATACTAATCCATAAAAAGAAATTAAGTACTGATACATGTAACAACATGGATGAAGCCTTCAAGAAAAAAATTAGCCAGGCATGGTAGCGGGTGCCTGTAGTCGCAGCTACTGGGGAGGCTGAGGCAGGAGAATCGCTTGAACCCGGGAGGCAGAGCTTGCAGTGAGCTGAGATCGCACCATCACACTTCAGCTCAGATGACAGTGTGAGACTCCATCTCAAAAAAAAAAAAAAAGGATGAACCTTGAAAATATTATAATATTATGGTGAGTGAAGGAAGCCAGTCACACAAGACCACCTGTTGTATATCCAGAATTGGCAAATCTCTACAGATGGAAAGTTAATTAGTGGTTGCTTAGGTCTGAGGGAATAGCAGGGTCAGAGCCAAAGGATGGCAGGTTTCTCTGTGGTAAGGAAAATGTTCTAAAATGGACTGTGGTGATGGTTGCACATGCCTGTGAATATCCTAAACTGTTGAATTTTATGTTTTAAATGGGTGAATTATATGGTATATGTAGCTGTTAAGAAAACAATGGGGCCCAGCTGTGGTGGCTCACGCCTGTAATCCCAACACTGGGAGGCTGAGGTGGGCAAATTATTTGAGCCCAGGAGTTCAAGACCAGCCTGGGCAACACAGGGAGACCTCATCTCTACAAAAAAATAAAAAATTATCCGGGCACCGTGGCTCATGCCTGTAATCCCAGTACTTTGGGAGGCCGAGGCGGGTGGATCACTTGAGGTCAGGAGTTCAAGATCAGCCTGGCCAACATGGTGAAACCTCATCTTTACTAAAAATAGAAAAATTAGCCCAGTGCGGTGGTACAAGCCTGTAATCCCAGCTACTTAGAAGGCCGAGGTGGGAGAATCGCTTGAACCCAGGGGACGGAGGTTGCAGTGAGCCGAGATCACACCACTGCATTCCAGTCTGGGCAACAGAGTGAGACTCCATCTCAAAAAAAAAAAAAAAAATCAAAAATTAGTCAGGCTTGGTGGTGTGTGCCTGTGGTCCCAGCTACTTGGGAGGCTGAGGCAGGAGGATCACCTGTGCCCAGAGGTCCAAGGTGCAGTGAGCCGAGATCACGCCACTGCACTCCAGCCCAAGCAATTCCAGATTTCATCGGATGACCTGCTCCTTTTGAGCACACTTCAGTAAAGCATTTTTTGGCACTGCCAACAACAAACAAATACCATGAGTGGCCCTTGGGCTGATTGAAATGGAATGAAATGCACAAACCATACCTCCCCACAAGGGCCCATTCTATCAGGGCAGAGGTGAGCGAAGCAGCCCCTTCTCCCTGCCTTTTACTCACCTCACCTCTGACATCTAACAGTGTTGAACCCTAATCTCCACTCTTACTATAATATGATCTCAGGTAAATGATACGACCTTTCCAGGCCTCAGTTTGTTATGTGTCAAATGGGGCTGGATATTGCTCCCAGATATGCTGTTGTAAAAGGAACTGAGGGCCAGGAGCGGTGGCCCACGCCTGTAATCCCAGCACTTTGGGAGGCTGAGGCGGGCAGATCACGAGGTTGGGAGATCAAGACCATCCTGGCTAACAAGGTGAAACCCCATCTCTACTAAAAATACAAAAAATTAACTGGACGTGGTGGAGGGGGCCTGTAGTCTCAGCTACTTGGGAGGCTGAGGCAGGAGAATGACATGAACCCAGGAGACAGAGCTTGCAGTGAGCCGAAATCGTGCCACTGCACTCCAACCCGGGAGACAGAGTGAGACTCTGTCTCAAAAAGAAAAAAAAGGAACTGAATGAGATCATCTTCATAAAGTGCCCAGCCCAACAGCTGGCACTTGGTACGCACAGAATAAATGTTTGCTATTCTTATCAGTTGTCTATTAATTCAACAGGCATTATGGTACTCTCCTGTATGCAATTGGCCAGAAAGATAAATGCCTCAGGCTCTCACAGTCTGATTGGGAGGCAGACAGTCACAAATCTGACCCCCTCTGTCTGTGATAAATGCTCTGAGTAGAGCTTTCTGAATAAGAGAAGAGAGAGCAGGGATTCTGACCAGTTAGAAGTCCACACCCTTATCTTTATTTCCGTTGATTCATTTTAATTGACATAACTTTTTTTTTTTTTTGAGATGGAGTCTTGCTCTGTTGCCAGGCTGGAGTGCAGTGGCACAATCTCGGCTCACTGCAACCTCTGCCTCCCGGTTCAAGCGATTCTCCTGCCTCAGCCTCCCAAGTAGCTGGGATTACAGGCACGTGCCACTACGCCCAGCTAATTTTTTGAATTTTTAGTAGGGACAGGGTTTCGCCATGTTGGCCAGGCTAGTCTCAAACTCCCAACCTCAGGTGATCCGTCTGCCTCGGCCTGCCAAAGTGCTGGGATTATAGGCATGAGCCACCTCACTCAGCCAGCATGACCATTTGACTATCTTCATCCTTTGTGTTGTTTTAGTTGTTCTTTCTTTCTTTTCTTTTTTTTTGAAACAGAGTCTTGCTCTGTAGCCCAGGCTGGAGTGCAGTGGCGCTATCTCGACCTCGGCTCACTACAAGCTCCGCCTCCCGGGTTCATGCCATTCTCCTGCCTCAGCCTCCCGAGTAGCTGGGACCACAGGCGCCCGCCACTGCGCCTGGCTAATTTTTTGTATTTTTAGTAGAAACGGGGTTTCACCGTGTTAGCCAGGATGGTCTCAATCTCCTGACCTCATGATCCGCCCGTCTCGGCCTCCCAAAGTGCTGGGATTAC